GAGCCAATGAAAAGCCGTGTTCTGCAGACCAGGGATACAAGACCTGGAAGAGGACACTGTCTCAACTCCCAGTCCTTGGCCTCCTGACCATAAACATCTCCCTCATTCATTTTGGTGAAGTTCAGAGAAGGGCTCTAGCCACATGCTCCCGTTATATATTCTGTCTACCCACTTGTATGCTTATTTAACCTTGGACCTTACTTGTCTACACTACAAGTTGTGAATCATTCCTTAAGACTGAATCTTAGAAACTCAACGCTGTTCCCAGAGGAAACTAGTAAAAGCCATAAAGCCGGCTTTGTTAAGACTTTCCCTGATGGACTGAATCTCACCTACCAGCTTCCCAAATCTCAATCTACCACCAAAACTGAAAGTTAAAGACATCAGAAAATAGAACAAATTACTCCTCCTCCTCTTCCTCATACCCATGCCCCTCTTATCCCCCCCAGTAGTAATTCCTGCAGACTGTGAAAACCACTCCAAGTAAACCAGGAAGGAGTTAAGGGATTTTTTTTTTTTTTAGGTAAGACATAGAATTCCAAACTGCTGACAGATCACTTTGCAATTTTAAATCTCTCTTGAGCCTTAACTGGTTTGGCTCAGTGGATAGAGAGTCAGCCTGCGTACTTGAAAGGCCCCAGCGTCGATTCCGGTCAAGGGCATGTACCTTGGTTGCGGGCATATACCCAGTAGGGGGTGTGCAGGAGGCAGCTGATCGATGTTTCTAACTCTCTATCCCTCTCCCTTCCTCTCTGTAAAAAAAAATCAATAAAATATATTTTTAAAAAAATAAATCTCTCTTGATACAAAGTTCTCTAGACTTTGGTGGCTAACCTGGTTTGCTTTCAAATGGTCACAGGTCAAAGATTTGCCTCTCCTCATCTGCAAAAATATGTCTGTGAAGGCTTTCTTTTTTTAAAATATATTTTCATTGATTTCAGAGAGGGAGAGGGAGAGAAACATCAGTGATGAGAGAGAATCATCGATCGGCTGCCTCCTGCATGCCCCATACTGGGGATCGAGCCTGCATATGTCCTTGACCGCAATTGAACCAGGATCCCTTCAGTCCGCATGCCAACACTCTATCCGTTGAGCCAAACTAGCTAGGGCTGTGAAGGTTATTTTCATCTTACATTTCAGAACCTCGGGGCCTTCAATAAAAAGAAAATACAGATTATTTAAATTTTAACATATATATATATGTATGATTTAAGATCCTGAATTGAGGGGCCTAGAAATCCGACTCTATGCTAGACCTGCTTACCTAGATAACCAAAATAATGAAGCTATGTGACTACAACCTCAACAAAAAGTTTCTATGCTCCAAGAACTAAGGTAACATTACTTTCCAATTCAGATTAAGCCAAAAGGGAAACAGACCTTCACAAGTTAGAACTGTGCAACAATCTGGCTTAAGCCTTTGGGTTAATGGTTCTATCTATAGTTAAGTTCAATGTGAAAGTATGGAAACCCACCCTGGGTTTTCTTTCAGGCAAGGACTCTGCATTCTCAGGTATATCTTCACAGGTATAAGAAAAAATACCAAGCATCAGAAATAAATATGAACTCATCTGGTTTTAAATTTTTATAAATGGAAAGTATGAATTCAAAAGTATGACATATTGCCCTAGCCAGTGTGGCTCAGTGGATAGCCCGCAGACTGAAGGGAACCCGGTTCAATTCCAGTCAAGGGCACATGCCTGGGTTGCAGGCTCAATCCCCAGTCGGGGCATGCAGGAGGCAGCCAATAATGATTCTTTTTCATCATTGATGTTTCTCTCTCTCTTCCTTCCCCTCTGAAATCAATAAAAATATATTCTAAAAAAATTTAAATGTTAAAAAAAAAGAAAAGTATGACCTAGTCACTTGAAATCAATAGCAACAGGGTCAGACCGGCAAAATGACTGGTCATTCACAAACACTGACCACAGGCTCAGGTTCAGCTTGCTTCAAAGCAATTACTCCCACTCTCTGTTAACAGCAGTCAGATTTAGGTCACCCACATACTCGCAAGTTAATCTGATAAAGCTGACCAGGCTTAATTCCTAGGTTTTATTTGTGGACTATAGTAAACTATGGTGGACATCACAAAAGGAGTTCCTCATTCCAAATCTTAAAAACAATCCTAAAGAAAAACTTCTCTCTTCTCTTTGGTTGTAGCAAAAGAAGATGCTTCCTTTCAAACACAGTATTATATTCTTAAAGAAAATACAATTTTTTAAATCCATGAATCTTCATTTAAAAGAAAATGGCTGAGTGTGTTTAGACCCTGATCTCACTTGGAAAAAACGGTGAAAATCATAGTCTGAAAGTGAAAGGAGTGAGGCTCATCAATACCACTAAGCTGAAAAAGAAACATTGAAAGATCCTATTACTTATTTTACAAATACTCAAAGCCTATCTTAAGGAATCCTGATTTTTCAGGACACAAAACCCTGCCCTAAGCTTTTCTGATCTAGAAACAGAATTTCAGATTGGATCTGAAGAACCCATGCAGGGCCATCTAACGTCGTAGTTGCTGTCAGCTCATTCTGATCCCAACAAGCACCCAGTGAGGGAAGCACTTCAGCAGCAGCATCCCTGTTTTGCGGGTCAGAACAAGAGGAGAGGTCAATTAGCTCCAAAGTCACAAAGCTAGGAGCAACCTAGAAGGACTAATCACCTTGCCTACCCACCCCTGCCAGAATTAGACTTTAACTTGCAGGTATATGTGTAAGGGCAAAGTACAGGTCTGAGGACTACATCAAGCCCAGGTCACCTGAGGCACATAGTAAAAGGCAGATTTTCAATCTCCTGACTTGAAATTTCTGGGGATGGACTGTAGAAATATGTTGTCAATCAAGTTCCCCAGGTGATCCTGAAGACCATCAGTTTGAGGACCACCAGCATGAGTGAATCCTAAATCCAAGCCAGAAAACCCATCTGTTTACTTATCCTCCATTACCACAGAACTTGCCAAGCAAACCAAGCAGCTTATTCAAATTTACTGTACCAGTGACCTAACCTGAGTCAGTCACATTAAAAGAATTTATGTGCCTCAGCCTAAAGAGCCAGGTCAATGGACTTAGGTCAAAGGTACAGTTTCAGCTTCACTCATTCCAAGCTAACTTCTCAGTTGACATTACCCAACAGTATCTTCACCAACTCCATGCACTCCTGGAGGTATCTTCTTTTACATTACCAACATATATGGTGTCAAATTCCTTCTGAAGATGCATACATAACACCATTTACTTCTAGAGGAAGTAATGTGGGTGTAACCCTTGTCAGAATCATCAAGTTGGGTTTACAAAGCATCCAAATTGTGGCAGGTACTCTAAAGATCATACAAAAAACTGCCCTCCACCCATTTAAGTTGTTATTTCATATTGAAAATGGGAGCAAGTCTCCTTTTGAATTCATTTCTTACAGGAGAGAATTTTAAAGAGGAGGAAAAAATGGTGAAAATTTTCATGTTTATTTTATAGATTAAGATTGTGCTCCCGGCCTCTGAAACATACTTTCAAGAAAAAGGGGGAGGGGAAGTATTTCCCCATGGTCATGCTGAATATCTCAGGAGGAAATAGCCTAAAAAGGCTATTTTCACAGGAGCTCGGCCAATCCTTGGACTTCTGGAAGACCTCTCATAGTATTACGAGAATTTACAACAGCTGGAGGCTGAGAAATGTAATGTGAAGAATAGAGGGGAAGAAAGGAATAGGTTGAGAAATAAGCACATTTGAAAAACAGTAAAAGATTTTTAAAAGATCAATACTAATTTAAGAAAGAAGTATCAGTACCTTATCATTTGAACCTAAAAGAACATACCAGGGCAAGACAAATTTCAGAAGACATGACACTCTTGAAATACAGAATTTTATTTAGAAACTGCTTAAAAGTAGAAAAAAAAAAAAAAAACCCTGTCAAGAAAGACCAGGTGGAAAATGGGTTCCCAATAAAATGGAATTTTAGGGCAACAAAAGTCTAAAGGCCACAAAAGAGAAATAGCACCACTGTTATTTGAACAATGGCTAGTTACTTGCATTTTTGGCATTGTTAATCACTGAATCTGGGTTTCTCTCTGAATTTCACACAGTGCATGCACTGC